GCAGAGGTGACAATACAAAAATCAAATAAGGTCCCTGCTCAATGAACTTACATGCTAACGGAAAAGGGAAGGGAGTTCCACAGGTGAGCATCAGAGATGGGAGTAAGAACAGAGGATAGACGTAGGTCTTTGGCAGAGTGTAGGGGCCTAGATAGGACATACTTGTGTATTAGGGAGAATAGATAAGTGGGGGTAGCATTATGTAGAGGTTTGAAAGCAAGAACCAGAATTATATATTGAGCCCTACATCTTCCCGTAAGAAGATTTAGGGCTCAATATAAAGACCAGAAGTTCTGTTTTGGACAAGTTGAGCTTAAGGAAGTGGAGAGGCAGTCAGAGACACTAGTCAAGAGGGGCGGGGAGATCTCAGGGAAGGACAGATAGATTTGCGTGTCATCTGCATAGAAGTGTTAATGGAAGCCAAAGTAGCTGATGAGTTTACCAAGGGAGGCAGTATAGATTGAGAACAGTAGGGGGGCAAAGACTGAACCTTGGGGGATACCAACAGAGAGGGGTTGGAGGGAAGAGGCAGAACCAGAAATGAAACACTAAGAGAACGCTGGGAATTTACTTTTGCAGAGGAAAGAGCCAAGGGAAAGAAATACTACGAGATCGCTCAGACACAGCATTTTAAAGTTACCTGGGGAACTCTGGTACCAGCAGGGAGTAAACCCTGAGCATTAAAACCCTGCAGTGCATGATTTCATAGACTGTCATGTGGGCTTTAGGTGGTTAAACAAACTAAATAACCTACTACTTGAACTTCTTGTTTCAAGGAGATATCTGACAGCCATTCTGGGATCAAGAAGGAATTGGAAATTTGGTGGATGCATGTCTCTTTTCAGCTATGTAGCTAAGTAACATTTACCATACCCAACCTTACATCCGTCACTCACCCTTCAACTAGATTGCTAGATTTCCTAACTAAAAAAAAAAACTAACTCAAGACAAGATCAATCGAAGTGGGGGTTAACCACCCCAGGCAAGACCAAGGGTACAGACTGTGCAAAGAGGACTCTGAGACAATCTAGCACATAGTAGCCGGGTGCAAGATATTAGCAGGAATAGCATACACAGACAGGCCAAAAAAAGTTGCTGGGATTGTATACCAAAACATCTGTACAGAATATGGGCTGAAAAGTCCCTATGGGAGCTACTTCAAAGGGTAGTTGAGAATGACAGTGCTAAGATCCTGTGGGACTTTCAGATCCAGATAGACAAACAAGTACTGGCCAACCAACCTGACATCATGGTGATAGACAAAAAACAGAAGGCTGCAGTAGTAGTGACTGTGGCAATACCCAGTAACTATAACATCAAGAAGAAAGAACATGAGAAGATGGATAAATCCCAAGGACTGAAAGAAGAGCTATAAAGGATATGGAAAGTTAAGGCAGTAGTAATCCCAGTTATGATAGGAGCACTGTGATCGCCGAGTTGGGGAAGTGGCTTCAACAAATTCTAGGTGGACATCTGAGATCGCTGTCCAGAAAGGTGCAGTTCTAGGAACAGCTAAGATACTGCTCTGAACGCTCACACTGCCAGGCCTCTGGTAGAAGACCAGAGAATGAGGAATAAAATATACCACTCAGGAGGGTTGAGAAAACCAATATCTAGTTTTTTTTAATATATATTTTAAAATACATATCTATTTCTGTTTCTCCGAAAATGTAAATCTACTTAATTCATTAGGAATGGATAAGTGTAAGGTAAAAGAAAGGTTAGGTAAGTCTGCTAAAAATGTATTAATATTTTGTAGAAAGGGAACAAATGTATAGTTATTATTTATTAATTTAAAGAAAATAAGTTTTATGTTTCAGCCAGACAGGGCCAGTCAGACCATTCCTTTTGTGTGATGTACTGTTTTTTTAATTCCTTGTCCAAAGAAATTAGCTAAAGTTTGTGATTTAGATTAGAGGAGAGCCAGTAAAAGATAATTTTGTCAAAGACACTTGGCCAATGAACGCAAGCAAAGGCATAGAGGTAGGAAAGTATAAATTAAGCTGACAGCGTGTTTCACTTTATTTAACCAGTACAAGTTAATATAGTTTTTCTTGGGAGTCACGCTGCCACATTGTCCCCTAGTGTTTTTGATTTATTGTGTGTTCAAGGGAGAGCGAGAGAGAGTTTTATCTATGTTTTATTTTCCTACAATTTTCTTTTTTGGGAGGGGGGAATGGAGGTGAAAGACAGTGGACCTCGCTCTTTATCACTGTTTATTTGTTATATGGCTGTGTCCAGGAAAGGTAGCATGAGTGCCAATGTGTCTCTCTACACTCTGCATGATTTTGTTTTTGTTTTTGTTTTTGTTGTCTGTCATATAATATGAAATTAACTCACTTTTATTTTTTTGTGCTGATTGAGTGCCTGCTTTCTAGGCTAGGCTACAGTCACTTAGCCTAGAGCGGTTTTATACTAGTAGCGGGTATGTGCAAATTAAAGACTAAACAGTTATTTATTTTCTTGAAATTCTTTCTTTTGTTTTACTTCTTGAAATCTTATATTTAGTTTACAAGTTGTTTGTTATAGTTAGTGTTTTTTTTTAGTTAGGAAATCTAGCAATGTTAGTTGAAGGGTGAGTGATGGATGTAAGTATGGGTATGGGTATGGTAAATGTTACTTAGCTACATAGCTGAAAAGAGACATGCATCCACCAAATTTCCAATTCCTTCTTGATCCCAGAATGGCTGTCAGATATCTCCTTGAAACAAGAAGTTCAAGTAGTAGGTTAACCCCCACTTCGATTGATCTTGTCTTGAGTGCCTGTTCCTGTGCTGCTAGGATTAGTGCCTCAGTGCTGTCTCTTAGACCTGCCTTTTAAAACCACTGGTGGGATTTTGTAATGTGAGCCACATCCACTATCTGCCAGTAGTACACCCAATGGAAAGGTTTGTCTTGCCATGGAGCCTCCTCCTTTTCTGCAACCTCTATCTGTTAAAGTCTCATGAAGTCCCTTAGCACAAGCATGTCAAACTTGCGGCCCACAGTCTGCATTCTGCCCACAATGAATATATTTGCGGCCCGCCTGCCCTGGGGCTGCTTTGTGCTATGGCTGTGACCAGCCACAAGATAGGAACGATCTTTCCGGTCTGCCCTGCCACGGCGACAAGACCACTAAGCGTTCCACGACCGCTGCAGGATAAGCGCATACAGCAAGTTAAGTCATTTCTGCCAGCTGCGCTACAGTGCACAGAGTGGCTGGTTGTGTGCAGAGCAGGCAAGCCACCCCATTTCCTCCTGCTCACATTGCCAGAGGAGCATCTGGCCTTCTTGAGCAAAGCAGGGCTGGAACTGGAGGAGGGGAAGAGAGGATTGGGGGACCATCCTGTATACTGTGTTGAATTAGGGACGGGGGGTGTGGTAGTATATTAATTTGGGGTAGGGAGGGGAGCAGTATATTAATTTGGAGGAGAGGGGGCAGTGTATTAGGGTGGTGGGAGGGGGGCAGTGTTTTAAATTAGATGGAGGTCAGTGTATTAAATTGGAAGAGGGGAGCAATGTATTATATTGTGGGAAGGTGGGAAGTGTATTCAATCGTGGGTGCAGTGCATTAGAGTGGAGGGAGTGGGGCAGTGTATTAACTTGGGGGAGAGAGTGGGTCAGTGCACTAGATTAGAGGCAGTGTATTAGATTGTGGAGGGGGCAGTGCATTAGAGTAGAGGGAGGGAGGGGGCAGTGCACTAGAGCGAGGGAGGGGCGGAACATGGGAGGATTTGGGAAATTATGAGGGAGGATGTGTATTAGATTGGGAGATGCAGTGTATTAGATTGGAGGGCTGCGTATTAGATTTAGGGGGCAGAATATTAGATTTGGGAGGCTGTGTATTAGATTAGGAGAAGCTGTGCATTAGATTGGGGGGCTGTGTATTAGATTGGGGGCAGTGTATTAGTTTGTTGGAGGCAGTAAATTAGTTAAGGGGGCAGTGTATTAGTTTGGGAGGGCAGTGTATTAGAGTTGGCGTATAAGGGAAGTGTATTGGATTTCGGGGCAGTGTATTAGAATGGGGGGAGAGGCCAGTGTATCAGCTGAATGCTCCTCATGGAGATTCTGATTGGCCACACGGTGTTTTGCCACACATGCACAACAGCCTCCCAGTGCTTTCCTATGGTAAAGCATTGGATTGTTTGAGATCCTCAAGTTTGACGATCTAAGCCAAAGTGAAGAACACACTCATAGGACTTCAAAATCAACAAGATAACGTCATTTGTTTTTTACAGCTGTGCAACAGCATAGATTCACCATTTCAGTCCTATTACCAAACATTTCTTCATCTGTCAAGGTAGTTTTGCTGACACATTGGTTATATGCAAATGCACGTCTCCCAAGTTCGCTCTTTTTTTTTCTTTAAAAGCCCTACGAGCATGAGGACGTTCAGTGTCCGGCGACTTTTTTTATACTGTACTTTTCAAAATAAACATACGTTTCTATGAAAAATGAAGTTTTTGTTTTTTTGCGTCCGTCATAAGCTTAAACCTTACAATGAAAAAGTGGAAAGTGCACTTATATATGTCAATGTAGAACCTTATATGGTGAACACGCTCAATATGAAAGTATTGAAATACCCTGTATTGATTATCCTAGGTGCTGGAAAAGAAAATGCTTAACACAGGGCAATATAGTCATGTACAGGAATGACATAAAGTATAGTATATATATAGAGAGAAATTATTTTCACATCCCACTCACATTTCTCTGAGCCTGTGCACTACTGGCTCAGGTAATACAGCGTAATAGGAGTGTGGTAATTCCAAAGATTGGGATCCCACTCTGATATCCTCCCAGGGAGAGATGAATATAGACAGATACCAAGTTAAAAATTCAACAAGTTTATTTAAACAACAAAACATAAAAGTCCTTACATGTAGGAACACTTGGTGTGGCAGTGGACCCTAAAAGCACAACACGTTTCAGCTATTTCAGCCTTCCTCAGGATGCACCTTGTGAATGCTAGTAGGAATGGAATGTGAGTCTTCAATTGTGAGGAAGTTCTCTAAGTAGTGGATAACTGATGGACACTCGCAAACGTTGAGGAATAGCCAACCTTTTTTATTGGTGAATTCTCCTGTGGCTCCTGTGGCTCTACCTATTGCGTTGTGCTGAGCAAGACGTCCATGTTGAGGGGGTCAAGTACAGTGGAGTGAAGGTTTGGACATTTGTGAATACCAGAGAGAAGTGCATTAAGGCCGGTGTGGAAACCGTCTGTAAAACCCTGTACCAAAAAGTCGACTAAGTGATGTAATGGGTGTGCCTGGAGGTAGTACGCCAGGTTGTTGATGCAAACTTTGGTAAGTCATTGTTTTGGGTACTGTGAGGGTATTTATGGAGTGATAAATATTAAAAATAATATTTTCATAAAAAGTATGAATTTAATAATTTTTTTATGTCAAAAATGTATATATTGGCACTGTTCCCCTTGATTGATTTAAAGAAAAGAGTTACCCACTATTTTAACGCTTATAGACCCTGGAGTACATTTTGTGAGAGAATTTATATTTTACACATTAATCACAAACTAATTATAAAAATTTAATTTATTGTGAAAAATAATTATTAATAATAATAATAATATTATGTAACATGCGTGACAATCAGTAAATATTTAGGTATAACATAAGTATACAATATGGTAACAGTTTTGATTCAATTACAGATAGTTTAATAGCAACAGTTATATCCACATAGATACAAATTTACAAGATTTACTACAGAGAACTTCCGCTTTAAAATTCCTTAACACAGAACGCATCATGGTATAACACAGCAGCACAGCTTACAGCCATAACTTTTGATGTCAGTTTGAATCACACTGAGTAAACTCACTCACTGCTGGCTACAATTCTCACAGGTAAAACACCTTTAATATTGCAATTAACAGATACTATATTTCTCACACAAGAAATCAGTTTAACTATTCCTTTTTATCCAGTAACCAATAAGAATAATTATAATCAAAATTTTACATTGCAATGGATTAACTTTCCTGATTAAAGATCCCTAAATTCATACAGGTCAATATCTCTGGATAGCTTGATATGCTTAACTTGGCAAGTTATCAGTAAATAAATTGTAAATTGTTTTCACCTGAAGGAATGGAATTTAGAACACCATATTTCCTCAGCTAATTTAAAATAAAAAAAATAAAAAATAATTAAATCTGACCAGCTTTTATCCAGGTATATTTCTGTTTTTAGTAAAAAATTAACTACATTAAATTAAATTAAATTAAATTAAACTAGAATATTTACCAGCTTTCTTGGTAGAAATTATTTAGGCTTGGGGATATATTGCGTGAATGGTGTATGCAGTATGGGATAGAGAATTGTGGAAATATGAAGTTATCAAGAGTTCTGATTATTAAAGAGTTCCAGATTCAGTTAGAAAAGACAAATTGAAGAGATACAGAGAGTTAGGTGTAGACTTGTAGACTTCAGTCAATAGATGGCGTTGTAACACCACAAGAAATTCTCATCATGAAGTCCAACTACCACTTTGTATAAGGAGTTAACTGGATTTCATGATGCCTTTGACCTCACAAGTCTTATCTTTAATGAGTACTGTTCATCAGAGATCTGTCGGTTTTGATGCTCTTTCTTAAACTGACTAAGCGTAATTCACACCTTTGCAATAATCACGCTGTCTTATCAGCATCTTGATATGCCACACCTGTGGTGGATGAATTATCTCGGCAAAGGAGAAGTGCTCACTAACACACAGACAGATTTGTGAACAATATTTGAGAGAAATAGGCCTTTTGGGCACGTAGAAAAAGTCTTAGATCTTTGAGTTCAGCTCATGAAAAATGGGGGCAAAAACAAAAGTGTTGCATTTATAATTTTGTTCAGTGTATAATTATTTTCATATGCCTATCCCCTCTGCAATCTACTTTGCGATTTGCTCTATACCAGGGGTAGGCAACCTTCAGCACGTTAGATGTTGTGGACTACATCTCCCACAATGCTCTTACAGCCATAATGCAGGCAAAGCATCATGGAAAGTGCAGTCCAAAACATCTGGAGTGCCGAAGGTTGCCAATCCCTGCTCTATACCTTTCATTATTAAGCCTTTTACGCTGCCTACTTAGCATACTGCAAAATGAGCAGGGACGCTATCTTGTGGATTTTGACTGAAAACTCATGTGGTGTTCCAAAATTCAGTCTTTCAGGTGTCTACATGTGCAACCAACATATTTTTTGTCACATGGGCATGCAGCAGGTATACATACTTACAATAAATAAAACTGTGAATTTTATAACAAGACAAAGAGGCTCATATTGCATATCCCTTTCTTTACAGTCCACCAATAGCAGTAAAGAATACAAAAACCATAAGAAAAATATGGTATACGCTTAACACCACTGTGCCACTCCCAGACCAAGTCCCAGTATAATAGTCAGCATCTCCCCTAGCACTTTCTCTTTCTTTGCTTCTCCACAGTTAGTTAAGTACCTAATTTATTGTCTCTACAGATATTAGTTGTACTTGTTATGTTAGACTTGTATTTTTATGTCACTTGTGACTTTAGTTAGACTTGTAATGTTATATCACTGGATTTTGTTTCTTATTGCTATGTATTTGTTTCTCCTGTACTCAGGGTCCCAGATCAGCTATGGATTTTTCCTTTCCCATAGTTTTGGGTCCCTCTCCACTAGTTTAATTCACCTTACCTTGGTTCTTCCTTCCTCTTCTGTATTTCTCTGTCTTTTCTACCTTTGTGTATCTCTAACGGTTTTTTTCCCTGGTCCTTTTTGGCACCCTTTGGGTGGTTTTTCATGCCACCGTTCAGTCCAATTTGTACCATTTTGGGACCTGCTTTCTGCAGTCGGCACGGGAAAGGCACTGTTCTTTGCAGATTCTTACCCGACTGTTCGGTGGTTTTCAGTTCCGCGTTTGCGGTTTTGCCTTACTAGGCGTGTTCGGTACGAAACAAGTTCACCCGTTTGGTAGTTTACATCATCCAAGGTCAGCCGAGTGGCTTCCAGTGGACCACGTGGTGCAGTGCCCCCTTAGCAAGGCAACTTACGGTTGAATGCCCTAGGCCGATGGTACCTAACAAGGTGTGTGACACCTCGTAGTTCATGACCAAACTAGGATGGAACCCATGTAAGGGACTTGACTCAGCACTGAGGTCATACCAAGATAAGCACTTGGACATATTTGGCCCCCTGGCCAAGCTATTTGATCAAACAGAGGATGCCAGGGCCGATAATAGGCAGGTCCACCCGGATTAACTCTGCAGTTGGGTCCAAAGGCCCCTTCAACCAACGCCCCAACTACCAGGAGATGAGGACCTGATCCCCCTTCTTCCCATCTCGTGGACAACCATGGCGGTCAAGGGGCTTCAGAGGGAATTCCGGTGGACGAAGCCCATACAGTAAGGTTCATGCTTCTTCTCATGTTTGTGTAGGGGGCAGACTCTGTCATTTTTTTTCCCAGCCTGGGCATCCATCCAATCGATGCATGGTTTCTCGAAATGGTGAGGGGTTTCCACGTATAGCTGGTTGGGGCACCTCAACACATCCCTACCCCTCGACCGATCAGTTTTTCCCTTCGGGATCGCATGTTGATCGAAGAGTAGTTGTTGGCTCTACTTAACAAGGACGCCATCGATTGGCTGAATACGCAGTCGGGGTGTGCGCCTTCTCGTGTATCTGGATGATATTCTGCTCATGACTCAAGACTGCTCCATCCTCCTACGGCACCTGCGATGGACGGTGGATCTCCTGACACGACTGAGCGTCCTCATAAATTGGGAGAAATCCTGTATGACACTCTCCAGATGCATCGCATTCTTGGGTTTCCTCGTGGACTTGGAAGAGGATTCACTGAGCCTACCTTCCTCGTGGACTTGGAAGAGGAACTTCGCCGGGTGCTACTCTGGCCGCATATTTCCCTACGGCACTTGGCAAGGCTAATCGGACTGTTGGCGTCTTCGATCAAAGTTGAAGATTGCACACCTCTGCGAGGGCACATCATATACGGATCTAATCTCCTTGGACATGGAAACGAATGACGAATTACGTTGATGGATCCGCAACTTATGTGCAAGGCCATATTCGGATCTCAGCCGGAGTTCACTGTAGACTCGGATGTGATTCTCCACGGCTGGGGCGCCCCCTGTGAGGGTGCATCGACAGGAGATCTCTGGTCAGAGAGAAAATCCCAAATTCAAATAAATGCCCTGGGACTTCTGGCGGGATCATTTACGATTCAGAGTTTTGAGAAGGGGACTGCCCAAGCTTGCATTCGCCTACGTATGGACAACACATCAGTGGTATGGTATATCAACCATATGGGCGGAACTCAATCAGCACTTCAATCAGCATTTCTGGCTCATCTTTCAATCGACTTCTGGGAGTTTTGTCTGACGTGAAACTTAATGGTCTACCGGGCCTGCACAATGTTGAGGCATACTTGAATTCGCGATATCTATCCGACAGTAGCGATTGGAGATGGGATGTAGAGGTGTTTTACCCTATCTCATCCTTTTGGGGCCCTTTTGCTATCGACCTGTTTGCATCGTGGCTTAACGCCCACCTACCTTGTTTTTTCAGCTGACATCCAGACCCGGCCATGGACGCTTTCCTGCAAGACTGGCACGGACCGCTTCTCTACGCTTTTTCTCCATCTTCCATGCTTCCCCGAGTACTCTTAACCCCGTTTTGAGGGACACAGTTGTGGATCCCTCAACTTCTGGAGATGGCAGTGGACGTTCACAGGTTGTTGCCGGCCCGTCTAGATCGGCCGTTCCGGATCTGCTATCCTCTCCTTCTAGACGATCCCTGCTTCTGATGGCTTGGCGGATTTTGGAGTTTCGGACGCAATTCGATGTCGCCTGGCAGATGCATTGGCTCCTGGAAATTCGATCATATGAGTCAGCTTGGAGAACTTGGACTGGCTGGTGCCTGGCTAGGGAAGTGGATCCTGTTTCAGCCTCCGTAACTGCGATTCTCCAGTTCCTCACATCTGGAGCAACTGGCTGGGTGGTTCCGGATAATCAATTTATATAGATCAGCCATTTCTTTGGCCATTCAAGGCTTTGAGGGTGTCCAGTGGGACAACACCCCTTAATGTGCTGCCTACTACGTGGCTCCCATCTTTCTCATCCGCCCAGGTCACGGTATGCATCCACCTGGGATGTTTCAATTGTATTATCACTGTTTGACTCAAGGTCTTCTAATGCTGATCTTTCCTTACGGGTTTCGGACATCTGTACCTTGGATTTTGACATACA